AGAAGAAGAGATGGATTCATACCTTTCCCAAGGGTATTTGTGCGTAGGTGAATGTAACGAACCCAACTGGAATTGGAACTCGGCTCTCTGATTTCCACGATAAAAGATTCTCGGGCGGTTAATATACGATTGGACTATTTCTTATTATCTGGGACTGAAACAATGTGACAGACAAAAACCATAAAACAAATGCATATTTAAATAAACTGATAAAAAATGAACTGAAATTAGTAAAACTTAATTTCTATAAAAAAGTAAAAATCAAGCATTTTATATCATTAACATGAATTACGTTGCTGTCTTTTTGTTTATGTTTTGTTATATATATATATATATATATATATCATCTGTAATAATTGTTACAAAAATACATAGGAGAAACCTCGAGGAATCTAAATAAAAGATTATATGAACACAAAAGGGACATTTTACAAAATAATAGGTTAAATGCGCTGGTTGTCCAACGTGACAAGACTGGGCCCAATTTTGACATATAAAATTCTATTCTGATTAAAGGAGAAATAATTCACTATAGCATAAATGTCTAGAGTGTCTTAATCGCAAGGTCATCTACAGTAAATTTGCGCCCTGAATCTTACAACATTTCACCATTCACGGCAGGTCATCTAATATCACAGTCCGGTATACCGATTTACAAAATGAAAAGAAAAAAAGATGATGAAAAGAAAAAGACTCTAAATGTATTCGGCTAGATGAAAAAAAAAAAAGAAAAATTCGAAAATTACTATCACCTCTCTGACGTGCGCATGCGTAGTCTTACCAACATTACAAATACTGTTCTTGATATATAAAAATATATATCATTATATTATAGATATATAAAAAATAAATCATTAGAATATATATCGTTATCTGATATATATATATATATATATATATATATATATATATATATTAATAGAAATTTTATAAGTATAAGAAATTATACTCGTTCGGAATACCGTGGGTGTCTTGATTTGTAAGTAATCAAACCAATACGAAAGGGAAAAAAAGGTATATAAAAAAGAAAGAAACAAGAACATGTACGTTAGCCGAAAATAATCGTCTAGCATGCAAGTCCAAAGAAAAAAAAACCCCGACGATCCGCTTAGGTGAAACCTTGGTAGGTTTGACTGGCTCTCTAGGTTTAACTATATATATATATATATATATATATATATATATATATATATATATAATATCACTTGATGATTAGTATGGATAATTCCAAGGAGGATATAAATCTAAAGAGAGCTCAATGTAAGAACAGAGCAATATAATAATAACTTTTTTCTTTTCCTTGTGTCAGAATAAATTGAACTCCATTTATTTTTGTAAAATTGGCCTGAAGAGATGAACGTCTAAGTCTACGAAATAAATTATCACCTAACTGAAATTCTTTTAAAGGATTTTCTATTCATTATTAATATATACATACATGTGCGTATGTGCTTGTATGCGTGTGCGTGTGCATTTATGTATATAATATAAATATGTGTGTATACTATATATATATAAATTTGGACACAGAGGTCCACATTGAGCGGCAGTTTTCAGATAGTCTGAAGATTGCGATCAAGCGTGAAACAGACTGTCGCCGCTCGGTATTGATCTCAGTGTTCAATTTTATATTAAGATACGACTTATCGATGATCATTTTTACCCATGAATATTGCATATATCTAAACTATATTTTTATCATAATATTTTAACAATTAGGAAATCAGGTGATTTCGTTACCTTGGATTTTAACGTACGGCTTACACAGGCGATTTTTGACAATTGAGCCCCCACTTAAAACAAGACAAAACAATGATCGCTAAAAAAATAAATAAACGCGTTGGGTGTGATAGAAAGAAGGGATGACGATGCAAAGAAGAAGAAGAAGAAAAGAGGGTGGGCGGAGAAAAGCAAGGGTATTATAAATAGGAGGTTAAATGAAATGTACATATTTTTAGGATTGAAACCAAGGTAGCAAAATCAACTGATCTTCTAATTTTTAGAGTTAAAATCTCTAAATATTATTCTTCTTATATATATATATATATATATATATATATATATATATATATATATATGTGTGTGTGTGTGTGACATAGATTTACACACACACATACACATATATATATATATATATATATATATATATATATGACATAACGATATATAATTTTATATATCAAGAAAGAGTATTGAGAAACTGCTATAACAAATTGTAAAAATGTTTTTGTGACGCGTTTCATCTGTTGGGACATCATATATATGACTTGCACATAAATTGCTGGTATTATTGAAACTATATATATATATATATATATATATATATGCTCTTGTGCTATTGATTGCTTGTAGGTGTCCTCGTATCGTAGCATATGCAAGCACACACAAATACATTCACTCGTATCTATAAATTATTTTAGCCATTAATTATTGATTTTGGAAATTTCAAATTACTTTTTGGAAATCTTTTTTTTAAGGAAAAAAGGTGTTTTCTTCTTTAACGTTAATTGTTCAAAAGAAAAATTATTTCATTTTTTTTAAATATCGATTATTACAGAATATCGATTTTTCTTTTTTTTTCTAATTCGATTATTTAAAAATTAAATTTTCTGCCTTTTGAATAATTTAATGACATTTTTTAATGAAGGATCATATTTTTTTTTGATGAAAACGATCGATTTTTTTTCACAAAATAAATTTTCAACTCAGTTTTTACTCAAACTTTATTTTTTTCCGTGAACCTAAACTTGAATATCTTGTTTTCTGTAAAAATAATTTAACCCAAAATAATATATACTTATAGACCACTAATGAAATTATAATACATATTATTAAATCACACTCATCCTCTCCGTATTCCATTGCTGAAAAGTAAGTTCCACTCAAACAGCTTCTTCCCACAATCCAGTGCCCTATGGAACAGGCTCCCAAGAGTATGTTTCCCTAATCAATACAATCTGAACTTGTCCAAGTCTAGAGTAAACCGTTATCTTCCCCTCCTATTCATATAAACTACTCCTTATCATAACCCTCTACCTCGAGTGGCCTCCAGGCCTTGTGCAGGGTGAACTTTACTGTAACCCCCCCCAAAAAAAAAACAGACGATGAAAGTAATCAAATCTAGTTTTAATGAAACTTTTTTACATTTGTCAAATTTATTAATATATATATATATATATATATATATGATGGACTCTCCTGTCGGTTTCGAGGCATGAGTATCTGACAACTTAATTGATTCAGATATGAAATTTTGTGTGATAATCTTAAGTGGCGCTTAAGACCCACTAGTCATTTACAAAGGAGTCCGCATATGGACCAAGAGTGAGGATTTTGGGATGAGATCTCTGTTAGATTAGCCGACCTTTTAGATCTTGCTCTCGCTTCTTGAAGACGATTCAGACAATTGAAAACAGACTGTTGCCAATCTGTGTGGAACACTGTAGTCAGGTATCTATCTATCTCTCTATATATGTATATATAGAGATAGATAGATAGATAGATAGATAGATAGATAGTGAGATAGATAGATAGATAGATAGATAGATAAGTGACCACAGTGTTCCACACAGATTGGCAACGGCCTGTTTTATGTTTGAACACAATCGGACAAGCGTACACACATGAAACAGACTTTCACCAATCTGTGTTGTCGTATGTGTCCACGTTTATACTTTATTACACACACTATTCCGAATATTGAGCATTCAGAGCCGCAAATAGAGCATAAAACTTAAATATATATATATATATATATATATATATATATATATATATATATATATATATATATATATATAGAATAAAAAAGAAAGAAGATTCAGATTTATAATTGATACACAGTATAGCATAATATTATAATATTATTATTCAAAAATATGTATTCATCGCGACACAGAAATTAGCATGTTTTAGAATTAAAAACTAAACCTTAAATCAAACTCAAAATTAAAGTTTTTATTCTCTTCTCAGTCGATGTTATTTTAGGTAACTGTGTCTGGTTGGTGGTCATACCATCTCTCAGTGGTTTCGATTTTGTGCTTCTTGCATATTTTAGAGTGCACATATATCTTATTATATCTGTGGGTATTATTATTTCGTTTTGGAAGCGGGGGTTAATTTTGGCTTTTTCGAAATTCAGATTCCTCCCATTCAGCTACTATTTCTGCAACAGGGGGTGGATGTTCTTTTCCAGCTGAATAACGCTCACTCTAATGATGACCCCCGCACTGTAAGATTTTAGAGAAAATTCCAGGCTGGCACCAATGACAGACTTTCTCCCTATTAAACAAGGGTGAGGTATGATGTGAAGACGCCTGAATTCTACTCCGATTAAAGGAGAAATAATCTCCTTCTTACAGTTAGAATACGGAAGAAATATGGCAATTTCGACATCGTGGCCTCGCCATGAGGGTCTTCCTTTGGTAAGGGACGCTTGGGCCTTATTCGCAAGATGAAACATTCTTTGTACCAAATCTACAAATTACAGACAATATTAAAAGTCTGTGAATTTTGTGTACGTCGGTTTTTGGGCGCATAATAATTTAAGTTTCTTCCACCTGTCTCTCTTTCATCCTCTCTCTCACTTTCCACCTCTCTCGTTCCACCCCTCTATCTGTTCACCTCTCTCTCTGTCCACCTCTCTCTTTCCACCTCTATTTTTTCTGTACAGTATTTACATTAGTCGGACTATTGTCCTCATCTTTGTCGCCATATTTGTCACAACGTTTCGGCCGTTGTACGCTCCGGCCTTCTTCAGGTGGTTGGAATTTCGAACTGAACCCTTTATTTCGATCACTGGGGTAGACTGTTCTAATTCCACGTGCCATGTTTGATGGATGTCAGTTATCAGTTATCTCCTGCTAATTTTCCTCTGAAAGTTCTCCACTGCCTTAACCAGGAATTGAACTCACCTTCTTTGGGTCTGTCACTGGATCTAACCAACGCCTTTATCCACTGTGCCATGTGTGCATCTAACCAACGCCTTTATCCACTGTGCCATGTCTCTCGTTCCACCACTCTTGTTCCACCTCTCTTTGCACCCGTCTTTCTTTCCATCCCTCTTTTCTTTCACCTTTCTCGTTCCACCGCTCTCTCTTTCCATATCTCTCTTTGCACCCCTCTCTCTCATTCCCCCCCTCTATTTCCACCTCTCTCGTTCCACCTCTATCTCTTTCTACTTCTCTCTTTTGACACCTCTTTCTTTCTATCCCCTCTCTTTCCGCCTCTATCGTTCCACCTCTCTCTCTCTTTCTACTTCTCTCTCTGCACCTCTTTTTTCAACCCCGCTCTTTCCACCTGTCTCGTTCTACCTCTCTCTCTCTCCACCTCTCTCATTTCACTTTTCTCTCTTTTCACCTCTCTTTTTGCACCGCCTCTCTCTTTGCACCCTCTCTCTCTTTGCACCACCTCTCTCTTTGCACCCCTCTCTCTTTGCACCCTCTCTCTCTTTGCACCCCTCTCTTTGCACCCTCTCTCTCTTTGCACCCCTCTCTCTTTGCACCCTCTCTCTTTTTACACCCCTCTCTTTCCACCTTTCTGTGATTGTGTGTAGACTCATTTATAGTTCAGCTTTCTTTAAACAAACGGTATTTTAAATATTAAAAATATTTTTGCCACATTTAAAAAAATATTTGAATGTGAATAAGACTTTAAAATACGAATTGTTTGTACAGTAAGTACTTTTATTTCAACTTTCTGCAAACAGGCATTTTTGTTAATATTGAAATGATCTTCAATGCGACACAATGGCTCACTGGTCGTCTAGTATTTTCTAAAAAATTATCTTTTCAGTTGAATTACAAGTGCATTTTTTTAATAACTACGGAAGGATTTAGAAAACAAATGCGTCTTTTAAAACACAATTATAAAACAAAACAAAGAAGAAAGCAACATTATGATTAATGATGAATCTTGGGGCAGCCATCAACTATCAAAACGTATTAAAGGTCTGTGAATAAAGTGCTGTTCCCACAGATACGGTTTCGCCAGAATTTATCATCAATTTCGGGTAAATGAAGGATTGTCTGCCCTTGGAAATTATTAACATAATTTGTCGTTATTTGAAATCTAAACAAAGTGACATTTCGTCGTCTATGTGCTAACAAGCCAATCTCGTTCATAATTACGACTGTAATTAATTATCTATCTATCTATCTATCTATCTATCTATCTATCTATCTATCTATCTATCTATCTATCTATCTATCTATCTATCTATCTCAGTCTATTTCCATCTATCTATATGTGTGTGTGTGTGTGTGTGGTAAAACGGTTAATATATATATATATATATTTATATATTATATATCAGTGTTTCTATCTATCTCAGCCTGTTTTCTATCTCTCTCTCTCTCTATATATATATATATATTTACATGTATATGTGTGTGTGTTTGTGTGTATGTATATATATATATCCCAGTGTTTCTATCTATATATCTATCCCATCCTGTTGCTATCTAACATTTTATCTATAATATATATATATATATATATATATATATATATATCTATCTATCTATCTATCTATCTATCTATCTATCTATATCTATCTATCTATATATATATATATATTTGTGTGTTTGTTTTTGTGTGTATATATAATTGTTTTTTTTATCTATCTATCTATCTATCTATCTATCTATCTATCTATCTATATATATATATATATATATATATATATATGTATATATATATATATATATATATATATATATATATATATATATATATATATATATATATTTTGTGTTTGTGTGTCTGTGTGTGCATATATCATTGTGTTTTTATCTATCTATCTATCTATCTATCTATCTATCTATCTATCTATCTATTCTCTATCTATCTATCTAACCCTGTCAGTGTATGCATCTGTGTGTATCTGTGTACATGTGTGTGTCCCTCTTTGCTCGTTGGGAACTGTGCACATGCATCCCCCCCACTTCAAATCGGTGCGTCGTTTTCAAGGCAACGGCATCTTGTATTGTCTTACCCAAGCGTAACCATGGTTACTAAGAGCTTTCTTGAGATTCCCACCAAAATGACGCTTCCGACTTTGTTCCTCGGTCTTTTCTTCATTAATTCCAGTAATGGACTGGAACAGAATTCTTCGAGGCTGGCAGAGATTCCTGTACGAATCTCAAAATGTGCCCCACAACGAAAAAGGAATTTAGTTGCTTTGGAAAGGTAA